AGTGGGGAGAGAGAGAGAATTTATTAGAAGGCGGAGAGTTCCACCTGAGTTACCATACACTTCTTGCTATACTCTGCTCAAACGAAAAAAAAAAAAGACCGACGAAGCAGGATGAAATGCGATGAGGCAGCCTTGGCAAAGTTCAGTGCACGACATTGGCCGACATTGCGAGTACGCATGTACAAACATTTTGACTCTGGAATTACATGGGACGTCCCGCGTACACGTTACACAAAACGGGACTTGGCTTCACGCTTGACTTGTCCACGTTTCGCTGTACGAACGGAAGGGAAGAACCGCGTATAGCGCCTCTGGAGTATGCAAAGACACGAAATGCGACGACGGACGTGGGAAAGGCGTTAGTCGGCGCGACGCGTCATTCGATTTCTGTCCGAGTCTGACGCAGCATGGACGTACGATGCAAGAAAGGAAGCACCTAAAACCGCACGAACAGCGTCTACAATATACTATACTAGGGCGGGGTGACGAAATGCTCACGGGAGCGCGACACACAGAGAGGAATCATTTCCGCCGCGACCCGCGCTAGGCGAGCCTGTCGCGAGCGAAGAAGCAGACACCCCCCCGTTCTCCGAGTCATTCGTCATATACGCACTGCATTCCACAAAAGATAAGATCCCCGACGGGAGCTTCAGCAAGCGGCTTTGTCACCATTATCTGGACTCAGTCATGCACTGCTCAGCTGACTCGATGGAGGATAAGAGCCAGCCTTATGGAAGCAGCACACGGCTGAAATGTCGTCATCCGGGCATTCCCTTCTTTGTCGTGCCCACCGCGCAGGCGACGAAGAGGCCAAAGTCCGGCTGACGAACCGGTCGGAAGAAACAGTTTATAGTTTTGTCAAGAGCAGTTTGACCTTGTTAAGTCATACTGCGCAACGCTTTTGGACAGCAGTTTTCAATAGTAGAGGAGGAAAGTTCGCGCAATAAATTTATTGATCCCGGATGTGCAGACTCAAAGTGCGCACGTTGCCCTATATGGCTATGGCTGGATCATATCTGCGGTTTTAAGGTTTGTGACAACTGAAATTTGGTTTATATACAGTCCTCGCAATCTGTGCTGATGAATATCATCTGATGATAATCATAATATGATATCATTTAGCTATTGATTCATTCATAAAAAAGATAAGTATGTAACGAATCGTAACACGAAGCGCAGTGGGCGGAATGAGTTGCAGCGCAACCCATATATAAAGCCAACGAATAAGCTATTTACGTTTCAAGCACGTATCAAAGCACTGGCTACGTTCCTCCAGGATGTGAAACATCGAAAGATCAACAGAAGCCCATGACGCGAAGTTGGCTCCCGCGCGATAAAGTATACACCACGTTCGTCAAACGAATTGCGAAACTGTCGCAAACAAAGAACGCCGGACGTTGTGAAGGGGAAACCGCCTCGCTGCTGTGTTTCATTTGATCAGACTGACGACACAGGCACTACAGTCGAACTTTCCTATAATGAACACTGACGTAGCGTATCAGTTTGCAGCGAAATAAATAGGAATTCTTGTTGGTCCCGCTTCATTTTCGTAACATTTGTTGCTTATATAGCGACATATAAAACGAGAGAGCTGCCATCATATTGGCTATAACGAACAAATGTTTGGTTCGAGCGGAGCTCGAAACTCTGACGACGTGGCATAAAAAGCAAAGCACAATCTTGAAAGAAAAGCCCCAACCACAAATCTTTAAAAAATAAATGCGGTTGTGAATCGCTTTGAAATGTTGGCAGGCGAAGATAACATCCTTTTTCAAATAGATGCGAACGCACACCTGTATTGTCGGACGAACTTTTCTCGTGCTGTATTTCTCTTTCTCGAGTTCCGCGGTTTATTTCGTTTGAATCGCCCCAAGGATACTGGCGAGGATAACCTCAATTATATAATTTAGAGCCTAGAATTACGTGTTCTCGTATATGTGACATCGCGAAAGCCAGCTTGCCGTGCCCATTCTTATACGTACCGTTATAACGAATACCAAATATAACGAACTAATGATAGTCCGTAAGTTAGTTCGCTATTCGACTATATATTTGAAACAGCGCAGTACTACGGATGTACCCCTTCTCTTTTCACGACATGATTCATTGAGGAAGTACAGAGCGACATTTAGCTGACATACTTTCCTTCAACCAGGCAGTGCCGGAGCCTTCTTTGATACCACAAAGAACGCCCTGAAAACGATGGTTCCCTGGGGACAAGACCACGATGCGGTCTTGTACCCTGGGAACCGTATTGATACAGTTTCGTATCAATAAGGGCTCACAAACACGCTCTTGTCAGCAGCTTGCTCTTGGGCGAACAACAAGAGGCTGCAGCTGCTATCAAGGCCATTCAGTTAGACGTGTGCTACGGGGCTCGCTTCTGGGGCCAGCTTGTGATGCATCACGTCTCACGCAGGGCGAAGGAAGCAAAGGCAATAAAGAGCACCACCTCTGTCTCGTCTTCACTCATTTTGAGCTGCGTTAATGGTGAAAACCTAAAAGGAATGTACCAGGACCAGTTTTAATGGGACACTAGAGAGAAGAGCTGTTGTTCGCACAATAGTGAATAAACGATTTCACAGTACCGGGAAACTCGAAAAAAAGAAAGTGAAGGTGACAATGCCACCTTCGAATTTCGGCAACAGACACCGCCCCGACTTCATGAATTTTTTTTTACGGTGTCCACTAGGCTATACCTATAGCTTCTAATAGGTTAAAATTGAGAACACTATCCTCTGTGAGGGTCACAGACTCAATAATAGGCGGAGAGTACGGGGGGATCAGGCCTCCTTCGAGCTGGATCATGGTTGGCCAGAGCCCAACCCTGGCCCGTGATGTTTTTGAAGAGCTTGGCTAAGGCTCTCATCCACCGCAAGCGGAATGTTGGCCCTCCTGTCCTACAGCTATTTCACAGGAAACTTGTCTATTCCCGTTCCTTTTCCTTTCAGGCTTTTCAAGTTCGGATCATGGGGTAGTGGCCAATAGGGAGTCGGGCGTCGCGGTCGAATTGAGAAAGAAGATGCAGGATGATTAAAACTGCTGCATGTGCGCGGCTCTTGTGCGAAAAAGTGGGGCGGGGACGCACAAATAATTTGAAGTTCTTTGTGCATCAGATATTTGTTTATGACCTTTATAATTTCGATATACATGGTGTTTCAAGAAATGTGTTCGATATTATTTAAAACTTACAGGAAGGAGGCATCTGCACGCTACCTGCAGCGTTCCCCTTACTTTGACAGAAGACATCTTCTGATGTGTACAAATATTATATCAGTAATTAAAGAAATTAACACAATTAACTTTTTAACCAGAGGAAATGGCCGATCGAGTCCAATGGGCGAAGTAAAGTACACCCTACAAATAGTCCATAGCAGCTTTAAAATTCTGGAAAAGCGGCTACTGGTAACTGGACAAAGATCCAGTGAATGTCGATCACGATATCCACACCTTTCGAAAACTATGAGACCACCACAAATTGCTCATGTTGGCGAAAATGGTAGTTCGGGTGGATCTGACGCCTCTGCGGACAAGTTCGGCCATACTTCACGGCAGATGAAGAAGCTACTTGCTTCACTATGGCGGCGCTCTGACCTCATTTGTGGTACGAGAACTAATAAAATGCAGGAACAGCGCAACCTAGAAGTAGTTACTTCGTAACTACGGAAGCGAAAAAACAAGGACAGAAAACAGCGCTCTTTTCTGTCCTTGTTTTTTCGCTTCCGTAGTTACGAAGTAACTACTTCTAGGTTGCGCTGTTCCTGCATTCAGTTATGTCCTACCAACTTGCCCAAGCTTCCACGCTTCATAATAAAATGCGTATCGCGAAGTCAAGTCTGAAAACGAGATGCATCAAGGAAGCCGCGATCGGGTCATACGGACAGTGCAAGCGCTGCATCTAAAGTTTCAGGGCGGCATTGTATTTCAGCTGTGCAATGCAAGAAAATATCTACTTTTTTTTTTCTTTTTGCAACCCGAGGTGTTGCTCTACAAAATGAACAAAATGCAACAAAGAGGACACCTCGAGCTCGAACTGATAATGGGCACTGGTCAGCGTCAATAATTAGGCGATATGAACGTTAGCGAACGCGGGCTCAATGTTTCATACTTCCGCTGTCGCAATAGCAGCATTTGTGTTCTGTGTGTCACTTATCCTGAACAAAAAAACTAACAACAAATCTTGTCTTATCGCAATGGGTGAACGGGGCCTTCAAATTGACCCATGATGCTTTTGCACACGACAAAGGGTACCGTTGCGCAAGTTATAAGCAGCAGCTGGACTACCTTCGCAGCGAATTGATAACAAAAGCAGTAGGTGAATAGATGCACCGAGAAATTTTTCAATATGCACCCACCCTGGCTACTAGCACAAATGTTACGATGTTGGACGTCCTCTGGTCAAAACAGTTTGACCGATCAAGCAAGACTGTTAAAGGGTATCTGACAGGTGGTGAGCTCTCCACATCGCCGCAGCAAATGAGCGAACAAGCCCTGACACGACTGCAGCACCTTTCAAAACGCGTAAACAAAGTGCAACACCTTACGCTTGAGCAGTCGTCACTTCGGCACTGTTTCTTCACGACAAGTTTCGACTTCTGAATGTTGTAAGCAGCAAAATATACAAGCGATCGCTTTAGTCACCGCTGAAAAACATGCGGTCGCCATAAATCAATTGGACACAGAACAAGGGCGACTGAAGTGGTCGACATGGTGCTCCCGTGCGCCGTAGCACTCAACAAGGTCGCCCAGCGGCCTTGGCAGTGCGCTCGACAGCACTCCCTGCCAAGCTCCTAGCTGGGACCCGAGCTCTACGGACAGCCGTCACGTACTACACGCATCTCAAAGCAGCGCGAAAGAAGGAGCGCGCGCCAGAACGTTGCACGCTCGTCTCGAAAACCAGTGCGTCCACAGGCCAACGCACCCGCTTCGTTGCTCTCGCGGGGGCCAGTCGAGTTGAAAGTTAAATGAAGAAACCGTCAAAAAACGGCCGGTTTGCTCACCCAGATCCTCCATCGCGGATCGTTGCCGAGGTGTCGCCGGCGTAGGAGTTTGGAGGGCCGCGCGAGCCGAAGGCACGGGGTTGAACACCGCAAAAATAGAATCAGTCCGGAGCGTTGCTCCAAAAACTACCTTGGCACAGCGTCACGACCACCTCATGCAGGCAGGACAAACCACTGGGCAGGGAGAAAGCACTCCGAGAGCGAGGGAAGGCGACACGGCCGGTGTGGTGAGATGCTTGGTGGTCGTAGTTGAAGTGGTACAGTTGGTTGTAAGTGCACCACCGCACCGGTGGTAGCTAGCTGCCTTTTGCTTGTTTCCGGCTAGACTTATCTTTTTTTTTTTTTCTCGCAGCCTGCTACCGTCTGCGAGCCGACACTACCAGCACACGGGAAAGCGTTGTAGAAGAGAGCTGCACCACGGCTACGCTACACCGCGCAAGCGAAAGTGGCGTACGGACGCACAACAGCATGCAAGCAAGCAGCTCAGGCGCCGCCGGCCCAGTGTTGTGGAACTGCGGCACGGAAACGACTGCCGAGCCCGAGCGAGCCGCTCTGGCACTACGAGTTCTGGGGGGATCTCCGACGCCACTGAGGTCACGCGGGTGACCTCATGGGGCGCCGTAAACGCGGAAGACTCGACGGCGACCAATACAAGGACAAAGAAAAAATGAAGGAATTCTTCGGGGACGAACGCGCGCGACGAATTGGCGCTCACGAACCAGCAGCGCGCGAGCGGGCACGGATTCAAATAAGCATCACGTAGGGAGTGTGGAGGAGAGCGGTACAACGTCCGCGTACGTAAGATTGCTTTTTTTTTTTTTTTGAACCCAGGAGGTATCAATTATGTATCGCCGTCGGCCGCCACTAAATCCTCACAAGGGGCACTCGGTGGCTACGATCCAGTGTTGTTGGAAGCGGCCCAAATGAACGCTAGCAATCTTCGAGCGTATGCAGATGTCCTAGCCAATTTTGTTTTTATTGCGTACAGTAGTTGCGCTGCTTGAGCCCCATGCTCCGCTTTCGTGCTCAATTTTATTTTTGTTCTAGCCGTTATCAAGAAGGTACACCAAATTAAGGAAGGGTACAGATATTGTAATGCTTACTGGTGAGTGGTTACAATGATTTCTCTCAAGAATCTGAAGAGCATCACTCATTGAACGACGAAAGCAAACAGAGACTACATAATCATATTTGTTACTTCCATAAAACATCACACAAAAAAATGCTGGCTCATTTTTTAACTAGAAACACATAAATTTACAAAATTTGCACCTAAAGCTTGAAATATCTAGTGGTCTGAAACCAACAACATTCAATTTCATGCAAAAGAAAAGAAATAGGCTGGTTACGCACCTGCTTGAAAGTGCACTACTTGATGAGTTTAATAACTGCGTTCAGTATTGTCCTTTGAATTAAGACTTGGTAAGTTGGGCCAGTTGGTTAGGATCCATCGTGAACTTACTTACAGCGCAACACCAGAAAAAATACAGCAAATTCTGGTGTTGCAATGTAAGTAAGTTCACGATTGTCCTTTGGTCTTGGGCGATTCAAACAGTTAAAAAAGATCCTAGCGAAAGCTGGACAATTGCACTGCGTAAAGTTCAATGCTTAAGTACAACCATATGGGAGTGGTTGTGAATATTTCTATGAACCTTGGTGTGGGCATGTAAGCAAATAAAAATATAACTGACTTAATAGTTTCAAGAAAGGCCCAACCGCCTCAAAAAAAGTAAGGTATGTCTCAGCAGGCTTCCAACAAGACACTGGCTTCATTGTTACGGCTCGTGAAATGCAAACCTCAATAATAAAAATATTACCAGTTAGCTGCAAGAAGTACCTCGTACCAAGTGCACAGCAATAAATAAGCTTCAAGTTCCATTTTCAAGATTCAGGTGCACAAAGGGTGCCTGCAAAGCAGTATTTTCACAAAGCCCTGGCAAATGAGCCCAGGTGATACTTCTGTTTATAGAATTTGGTGTTATTTTGGTGTTTTGATCAAGCTCTCCAGTGCTGCTCAGCTGCACGCAACCTTTAGCTGTTACAAAAATAGAAGCCTGAAAGAGGAGCGTTCTCAAACTTGCAAAGGCACAGATGAAGCACAGTGCAACTACTGCAGGGCACCCTATACAGAAGCAGGAAGAAAATATATTTGTACTTCGAAGGAGACTCGAATTATAAATGCATCAGATAGACTTTCTTGCTTTTAGAAAAACGATAAGACACTTTTATGACAGACTAAGTCCACCTTCTTGTCAAACATCAAGCGACACGGTCACATTACATTGTTGTACGCGTAGGTGAGCACAAGGTTCCCCTTCACGGGTGGGTGGGGGTGGTGAAGGTTTATCACAGTGTCCCCCCCCCCCCTATTATGACAATGTGTGGGGCTGGCTTTGTACCCCCCTAACCCCTTCCCCCCCACTGGTGGACACGCCTATGGTAGTAGAACTTACTAAGAATATCAAACGGTTGCAAGTATCTCATAAGTGGTGAAAAGTGCTGTAGTGATGAAAAATGAAAGGAGCCTTTTGTAAAAAGAAAAACTCAAACTTGTTTATTGCACAAAACATTCACAGCGAACAACAGGTGGCCAAAGTACTTTGAAAAATGTGCATAACACACAGTACACGCTAACAAACAAAACAAAACAAAATGAGAGATAACCATGATACTGACTAGATAGCCACAGAAACGTTACTGCACAACACCTAACTTGTGAAATGAAAAATTATAGGCATGGAAAAAAAATGAAGACTGCCTATGTCTGCTGCTACTTCTATGAATGCAATTTACAAATGAAAGGTACCCTTTGTGGAAAACCATTATATAAACACAATGCTGCAAATGTATGGCTCTATAAAACATTGCATAGAGTGATATAAGTTCTGTACCTAATTAAATTTGAATGTTGCATGAATCGGGCAGTTCCTGCAAAGGTTTGGTCGATGGTTTAGGTGCCGCATCAGAGCATTCTGTGTCTAAATTACTCGTACATCTGCAAAAAAAAAGGAAACAGCCATATTTCTCAGAAATGTGTCAGAAACTCGAGCTCTCACTATACTTAAGCAGGTATATATGCAAGAATTCAACACCCACTCAAAAAGTTTATGTACGCTAGAGCAATAATTACACTCAAGCCTTTATATAATGAATCCAAACATAACGAAATATAATAAAGTAAGTGAATACTGGTATTGCACTAGATAGTGTTATAAAAATGCCTTTATGACAAGTTTTTGATATAACAAACTTATTTTCGAGTAAGTTGCAACTTTGTTATAATGAGGTCTGAGTGTATGTACAGACGAAGCAGTGCTCGTACAAAAATTAACGACAACATGCTAATGAGACAGGAGTAAATATACAGAATAAATTCCAAAAAAAAGTTTCTGCCAATGTTTGACCTAGACGGTGATTAGTGCCGAGGCGTCTGCAGACTACATAACTAAAAGCCAGTCCTCTATAAAACAATGCCAGCGAAAATGACAAACCAGACGAGGAGGAAGACTTGTACACAAGATGCAGTAACAACTGAAAGTTTATTCAGTATTTGCGCAGAATAAACGCTGCCTTCCCAAAACAAACAGAAAAAGCTTAGACGAGATACAGTCGGACTCCTCTACAACCCTCGCTAGCTTCAACGAAATTTCCACTACAAGGAAAAATTCTCGATTTCCTGTCAGCAGTTCACGGGAGTCCATGCATACATAATCTCGCCACAATGCACACTCCTTCTTCTGCCTGTTCCAACTCAACGAAATTTTTTCCCGTGCCCCGTCAGTTTCAGTTGTAGCGAGGTTCGGCTGCACTACAGTGCATCATGTTGGTCCTTCTAACTGCACAATGTAAAAAGCTTCCAGGGTGCTAAAATTATTTTCGCTATGGGTATTGCTGCAAAACATTTGAGTTTTCTCATAGCTAAGAGAAGGAAATCGATCCGCGTTTGTAGCACTAAGATACAAGGAAATCAATGCAGATTTCTCAGCAAGGAAGCTTCATAGCTGCCGAAAACTTCGTCTTGGTCCAGGGATTGAACATGAAACCAACGCCTTTTCAGGGTGGTCGCTCCTACCACTTGTGTCAACTAGGAAGCTAGCACATGGCAGTGCGAAAGTGAATAAATGATCAACTCAAAGCATGCCGATTGAAATTATTGCAAATCAGTTCTTTGGAATATTGCAAGGTGACCGAACTGTGGACATGCCGCGGTTTGGCTACGTGGTAGAACCTTGGACTGCTGTGGTTTGGCCACCTTTCAGGATTCTGCACAACTGATTTGCAATAACTGACAGGATCCAGTGCAAATGTGTACATAAAAAACAAAGAAAAAAGATAGGTGGGGTCACTCACACGTCCTCCGACTGTCATGACAGCAGAAAGGCATCATACTCAATGCATTGACGGAGCACTCCGGTGAGGATGAATTCGGCTGAATAGATGTCTGAAGAGGAAAGAGATAGAGAAACAGAGCTCTTTCAATCTAAAGTTAAAATATACTACAGTAGACTCTCAGTAAACAGAGATCTGTTAAACGGAACTACTGGTTAAACGGAACTATCGCCTCGGCAATTCTTGATTTCGTGCTTGTATTCTACACCCATGTTCATCTCTCAGTAAACAGAACTCTTGTTAAATAGAACACATTCTCCCCGTCCCTTCAGGTTCCGTTTATTGAGAGTCTACTGTAGTAGTAGTACTGTGAAGCATTGAAGAAAGCCTTCGACGGTGCCATTCATACGGCAAGCATTGTTACAGGGTACAACGTTCTCCTACCACTCAAACAAGCAACACAGCTTTCATTTCTTCAGAAAAAAATGATGAACCATCGACCTACCAACCGTAATGACCAGCGTGAACAATACCTTTATAGCCGAACCCAATCCTAAATATTCAAACAAGATCTCTAAGGAGAGCTAGTGAGCACCACATGCACATTCCTTAATGCTGCAATGCAATTCACTGCCTTTACAAAGAAAAGTATGCAATGTATTGATGGTTACAGCACCATTTTCTGAAGGGGATTGGGACTTGCTTGCATTTAATTTATGTTACCACTAGTTGGTAAAGACACTTAATCCTACATTTTGAACTCAGATAAACACACAACTCTCATGCCAAAGCCATGTTGTTAGAGAAGTTGTGTGATGGCAATCTCAGCTTGCTTGCTGCTCTTATACAAAATGAAAACTAAGACTTGCAGATTAATTCAGTGAGCAATATTCATTCATAAGGGGTGAACTGCTCACCCAGGCTTCTAAGAGAGCAAATTTCACATCTTGAAAAGCGACTTGAACACAATGAGCCTGGATATAACAACAGTTTTTTGTGAAACCATGATGTTATATGAATGGGTTCGATTGTATAACATATGTCATCAAAGTCAAATAGGTATAAATTGATGTTAAAAATGATAGCATTGATTTTCTTACTGATGTTTTTCGACATGTATTCCCGGCACAGATGCAGGTCATTGTCGCAGGATATGACTATGAACTTGGTTCCTCCCTGCACAGAGAGAGGAAAAGTAAAGAGATGTTATACATTGAGCAACAGTTTACGTAGATGACCAAACTCGCATTCTCACATGTCAAGAACACTTATGTCTCCTGTGGAAATACTTTTGTGGACTATGGGGCACATTTAAGAAGCAAAACTACAGCAAGCAAAAGTACGGATGGTTCTACAGTATATGTAAAACCACCTGTAGACAACTGTTAGACTAAATTAAAGGAAGAAGAAACACACCGTGCTTTAAGGACAAAAATAACATGAGTGAGCACAGTATACCTTTTTATAGGGTTTTGCAGAGCAGTAGATTATTCAAGACGAAACTTAAGTCTTTTAAAGAGCTTTCACAAAATAAGCTTAATGATGGCCTTTTCTGACTGGCACAACAAAATCAGCATATGGCAGCACACACCAGGCTACGCAAAGGGATGACACAAGCGCTGAACTTCAACTTATTTTGATAACGGGAAAGAGTCCGCTTAAGTAGACGATTCCTACCTGTAATAAATATCAGTTGAAGTTCATCGCTTGTGTCGTCCCTTTGAGTAACCTGGTGTGCCCTTATGCTGTAATGCCTCAACTAGCCCTGCCAATACATATTAAACAACAAAATATACAAACAACATTAACAGTGAGCAATTATACAAGTGCACAGTGTCTTTCCTTTCCTAATTAGCTTCTAAAACCGTGTGAATCTCACATGTGATTTACCTGTGTGACCGATGTGACCTGCTTGAGTGATGGCCTTCTCTTCAGGTACACCATTCCTCCCGAACACTCAACAATCCCTTTCAGAATCGGGGGTGACGGGTACACACCAGGCGTGATGAAGAAGATCGTGCCCTGCAAGCGTAAACATCGTCAAATGACCCACACATAATTTATGGCTGGCCCGGGAAAATAGGTGCACAAAAATGTGCGCCCTATTTTTGGCATAATAGTGAATCTTCATTTGTGAGCCTTCATTCATCTGAAACTTCACAATGACTTCTATAATTTTGGGGGTTTTAGAGGGATTTAGGCTGCTCAGTTCTCATTAATATTTTGTCCAACAACAACAACAACAACAAAAGAACGATCCACTTATTTCCTGCATATAACATGTCTTCTGAGCAGCACCTGTTCCTGGGTCTACTACTTGCCTTGAACAGTGGTGTCCGGTCCGTTCTCTGCAGAACCTGATCAAGGCTAAAGCCAAACGTCTTCTCTGCATCGGGGTCATCCACCTGGTACGGTCGCTCTTCTGCAAGTCAACGAGCAAGAAACAGAGATGAAAGGGAAGTAAAAAAAATAAATCCTAAAGTTCGTCCATCGTAGCAGCATGAAAGAAGGCAAGCACACAGGGAAGAAATGCACTGAAGAAGAATGACTCCATGCACTTTTTTTTCTGTTTCACTATTCTTGTATGCTGCAACTAAGAATAAGTCACAACTCGACCGCCCCTCAATTCTGGCACCATTCATTACGACAATGTGCCACTCGCATAGAAAGGAAGCAATGGGAAAGTTTAATTACCTAATGTAACTGCCTAAGATTAGTACCATCATCATCTCTTCCTGTAGATGCGCACTTAAATTTCTCTCAGTGATACTATCTAGTAGCTCCCGTTCATTTCAATCCCCTGAATGGGTCGCAGTTATCCATTCTATAGAGTGCATGACCCGGTTCGTTCAACATTTCAAACTCAATTATATATGTAAATTATCAGTAGTGGCATGCAAATATACACATAAGTTAAAATTTCTATCAAAGAATAAAGACTTTTTCTAGCAACTTTACATTCAACTCGAAAATTCACTGCTTGAAAACATTGGATAGTATTAACTTATCTTTAAACATAAGAAATAACAATACTTATTTAGTATACCTAGGAAAATAGACCATAGGTTTGCCAATTCACTGAAGAGTGACCGATGAGTAAGCCTGAACGAATCGGCCTGAGTGTAGTATTTTGTCAATTCCTAGTGAGGCGTAAGCAAAATATATGCTAGCATGTATTTTGTGAGCAAGCCTGAGCGGGCTCTGTTAATTATTTCTTTTTTAAACCTATCCGAAAGAAGCTGCGACCAACCCGACATTAAAAGAGCACACGTCTTGGCCTCAAGCTTCCCCTTCCCAGTCATGTTTCTGGTTTCCTTCACTTTCCTCCTGTCATTTGGCAGCATTCGTGCATATGAATTACCATATTATCACAGCTTTATTAACACATGTGAGGCAGCTATATTTTATTAGTTGCATCATTCAATTAACAAAAATTTTAGCAATCGCAGCTCATTGGCAAGGTTCAAAAGGGTACCTTGACATAACAGGCAGCAAAGAACTCCTACGGCATCCCTTACCAACAAATCCGTTGTTAGCGACGCTGTCCTTGATCCAACGTGGCGTCACGACAAATTTAGCTGTCCCAAAGGCCGAGAGAAGTTTCACCGTTCGTTGAATTCTGTCTGTCACCAGGTGCGTGCATTCCTTGGGTGACTTGGCCAGTGCGCCGCCAAGCTGAAGAACAGCCTACATTCGGGAGGACACAGCAACAACTTATAAACATGAAGCTGCGACACCTAGTTAAAGTGACTGATTGATTAGACTGGTTTATTCAGTCCATAATAGCAACGCTCCTACTTTTTGGACAAGCCATAGGGGAGGACTAAAGCTTTGCAAAGCGTGAGAAAATGAATATTTAGCACAGTTTCAAGTTACTGAACTATAGCTGTCAGCATTGAACCTTCAACCAGCTACTCTTCGTTGAACGATATTTTCTATTTTCACAGTGGAGTTACGTGATTGCAAATGTGATGCATCAAGTTTAAGATTTGCGATTTGCCTCAGGCCACAAATTGAATATGAAAGCCGTGATAAAAACGCCAGGGCTTATATTCATGAAAGATTCCTATGCCATAATTATTTGTAGGACTAAATGCACTTGACCGCTGGTCGAGGCCAGGACAGTTCTTACATAAGACAACCTTTATTAATGAGTCCCTGCTCTACGGTCACTGGAATACTGTACTTTTCTCTCTGGTAGCGTAACTTACTTAATTAAAGATGTTAGGGCATTAGTTCTTCATTTTGCACTCACCTAAGTGGATAAACTACATAAGGAATTCATTTACAGTATACTTCCAGGATAACATTTGCCAATGTCCACACAAACTTCCATGCCACCTCAAAAACCCCAGCATTTCTGCAGCCAAATTATGTACCACAAAGTTCTTGTACTCACCACTTGGCACCTCCATGAAAATAATTTGTTTCTAATGATGCAGCGTAATAAATGTAGCTACAAGTAGAGTGTAATCTTAAAGCCAGCAGCCAACCCCAAGTACTTTTCTTTTTTCCAACAACAGGGCTTAAAGGAAAACTACAGCGATTTTTTGACCATGTCAGGATAATGCTGCTTTTATATTCCTGAGACACTCTTGTCGCGCGCCTGATAGTTGAAATGCTCAAAAAGCTTGAAAACAATTTTTAATTACCGAAAAACTGTAATACCGCAACCAAAACCCAACCGAGTGCGCTTCCACGTGTCATGTAATCATTTACCCGAACCTGCCTGATTGCGCATAATGCCCGCCAGATGGCACCACCTGTCTATGCCATCCCCCGCAATCACCTAAAATGCTTATGCTGTTATGGTGACTATATGGCGAATCGTGTGTGGCTCACAATGCAACACCACTTACCACCACCTATTGCATGCCCACCAACACGGAAAAGTAAGTCGCACGCTCAACCGAAGAAGCACCGGCCAAACCCACACAATCTATAGCAGACAAGCAGACAAGCAGACACTGCAGTGGCACATCGGTTCAGTCTTTTCCGCCAGGCAAAACTCAATGTAACATGCACAATGTTGCCATTAATTCTGGCAAGCAAGGTCAGCGTGTCGAGGCGAGTTATAAAATTCTTTTGAAAACAATCTGCGAAACTCTCACGCTTGCGATTCGGCATGAATGGCACAAACGTGCAAATGAACGTACCCAGCGAATTTCATTGAGATCCATTGAGCCCGAGAATCGCCGCAGTTGGCCTTTAGGATCATTATTAGAGCAGCTGAGTGAAAAGGCTTAACAAGGTGATGTAACTAGGCATAAAACAGTAAAGCTAAGCCTAATCATTTTTCCGTTTCTGACAATAGAACACAAGATCTTCCGTAGAGCAACTGAATGACAAGGTGATGTGTTTCACAAGATGATGTGATAAGGCCTAAACCAACGGAGCTAAGCCTTAACAATTTTTCTTTTCCGACAACAAAGCGCAAGACGATTAGTAGAGAAGTTGAGAGAAAAGGCTTAACAAGGTATTGCAATTAGGCAAGAAACAAAAAAGCTAAGCCTAGTAGTTTTAGTTGCTTCTGGTAGAGTGTACTAGAAGAAGGGGAGTGCCCGGAATGGCCGCAGCACCAATGGATTAAAAGTGAAGCCCAAACAGGGTCAATCCGCTTGTGGCGCAGGGATCGGTAGACTGCAATGTGTCGTATTTTAAGAGCCGCGTGCAGCTCCACCAAAGTGGTCGAGGGATAGAATGCTCGCTTCACACTCGTAAGACCCAGGTTTGAATCGCAGATGTGAACAATGGATATTTTATTTTCTTAATTTTACTTCCACAGCTGTATTGATTGGCTTTTTTTAAAATCTGGCTGCAGTTGTTACGTATTGTTACAAAAAATCAAACAAAATATGACGGTGTGCTTTCATCGCAGGCTAGTGAAAACACACCGTCTTTCTTATTCGCCAAAATCTCGGAAACCATGCTTTAAAGTTTTCGTTAAATCCCGTACGGTGGCCCTGCAAATACTTGCGCTCATTGCCATGTTTTTTTTTCTTTACTTCATATTTCACGCGATCTTTTGTAGCAATATGTGGCAACTGAAGCTAGATTTAAAAACAAAGCCAACCAATACAGCTGTGGAAGTAAAATTAAGAAAAAAGAAAATCTATCGTCCACAGCTGCAATTCGAATTGGGTCTTTTGAGTGGGAAGCGAGCGTTCTACCCCTCGACCACTTCGGTGGAGGTGCGCACGGCTCTTCAAACGACGACACATTGCAGACCTGATCGCAGCGCCACAAGCGGATTGACCCTGTTTCGGCTTCAATTTTTGGAGCTCGGTCTGGGCACTCCCCTTATTCTAGTACACCCTACTTCTGGCAATAGAAAACAGGATGTTTGGTAGAGCAGCTGAATGAAAATGGATGGATGGATGAAAAACTTTTATTGGGGTCCTGAAGGATTCTACCCCCGTTTTATAGGGGTAGAATCGGAAATAAGAAAAAGAGATAAGGTTAGGCCTACACAAAGATGTGCAGAAATCAACACTTGCCTTTTTCAGATCACCATCGTCTTTCAAGCCCGTGATAAGAACTTGCGGAGCTTTGTCATCCGGAAGAGTTGTGGTTACGGTCACTGGTATGTTCTCTTCCTCTTCCGGTGCTAGTCTGCACAATAAAAATTACAGGGTTTCTGGACCTGGTTGGTGTGTTTTGGCGTGTTACGTGTACATGAACACACGAACACAGACACACTAACAAGCTCCTGCCATAAATACTGCTGAAGGTGTTGCTACGATGCAAGAACGCTCAGGTAGGCAGCATTCGCAACAAAATGAATGCCATCCACAAAATTTCAGTGTGCCTTGAGGATAGCAAGTCATTTTGGAAGGCGGCCATTTGGTCAAAACAGCAAATTTAGTCACGCATCACTTCACACCCGCAATTTCTTCGACAGAAACAAGTTTCCTACCTCGCTCATGAGATCTGCCTCTCACTTATTTCACTGACTACCAGTTGAAAACCATTATGATGTAACAACCACAAAGAAGCTGGAATTGCAACCGTGCACTTCACACATCCCAGACATACTATATTGAGGTGGCAGTAGCACTGAAGACTTCAAATTGTTGTACAAGATGGCTCTTTCAAACTGCAGGTGTATGCACACAAGCAAGTGAATCACCCTTTTCAAAACAGAGCCAATCTGCAAACATTCTGATGCCACTTTACAGTAGACTTACAACAAATGGAAATCTGTTAAATAGAACTACTGCCTATACGGAACTATTGCCTCTGCAATGCTTGGTTTCAGGGCTTGTATTCTGCATCCATGTTCACCTCTCAGTAAATGGAACTCCTGTTAAATGGAACACATTTTCCCAGTTCCTTCAGGTTCCATTTACTGAGAGTCTACTGTATATGTATGTAGCATTTCCAAGGCAAGGTATGTATTTTTTCTGCCAGAGGAGAACAAAACACGAGCGTAGTGCACCGTGAATGCACACTTTCCATAGTGTTTGACTGTACCGCAATAGCGAATGAAATTAACTAAACTGAAGGAGCTCATAATGAATGTGTTAGCTTAACGTACAGTGTTCAAACTGCTGCTGTAAAACCAAGGAGAGGACAAACCTGAGAAAAACTGACAGTCAAAGCATGCGACAAGGCAGATGCACACACATACCTTGGTCTTTTTGGAGCTGTTGATTCAGACTTGGCGGGACTCTCTTGCTTCCGCTTCTGTGCCTCCTTGAACGCCTCCGAAGCAGTAAAACGCTGCAGATGGGGGAGAGGGCGACAGTGAAATGGGTTTTCTTCTATGAAGTCGGGACACATAAAAACACGGACATGCAAAAAAAAAAAAAAAAACTGAAAATGAACCCTCAGGAGCAATAGTCGTAACATCTCACTAAAGCTGGCTAAGAACTGCTTTCTGAATGCAAGCTTACCTACCATACGTGCCCTAAAGAAGCCACAGTGAACAAGCATTGTGAAGTTAAATTATGTGTAAACTTGTCATAACAGCCATTTCACTAAAGCACAAAAATTAATGCAAGGGTTACATTTAAAGTTTCCTTATATACAAATGAGACTTTTAGACTTAAGATAACGAAAAAAGCGGCCTCCATTCTGAGTTCTTTATCGTGCACCTAAATTTAAGTACACGGGCCTCAAGCCTTTTCACCTCTATCGAAAATGCGGCTGCCGTGAGCAGAATTCGACCCTGTGACCTGCGAGTCAGCAGTCGTGCACCATAATCGCTAGACCACCGTGGTGGGTGCTTGGTGCAGTGGTTCTGAAATGGGGATCCACGCGAGGTCATTTCATGATCTGCGAAACTCTCACTCGCATTTTCCTTTAGGCATGACTGTGCCACGTATCAATGAACTGTCCAAAATGAAGTGATGTAGCACGTTACTACGCAGCTTCAGCAACAACTATGTGTACTCTATTACATGTAGTAGTGTTATTTATTTATTTTAATCACTGCAGTTCTTATTCTATGCTGTTGGTCATATTAAATAGAGTGCTTATTTAATTTTATTTGATGCTCTTGTGCCTGTTTATTGCAAATTGTTGTTTTTTTTCTTTTTTCATCTTTTGAAAACTTGTACATACTTTCCGTTTTATTTTTATTGTGTTGTCAATTTGTAAATTTAAAGAATGTATATGCACTCTGCTAAAACCCTCTTTGAGGGTTGCAGTATTGATAAATAAATAAATAAACAAATAAATAAATGTGACAGTTTTGTTGGATGTTTTTTGGTAGCAATAAAAGACGGCTGCTCCACGATCCAGTTGCGTTAATTTACCTACGTACCCCCCCTCTTTCCCCTCCACTGCGAGGGGTCCCCCATCACTTCCACCAGTGTACAAGGGGTCCCCGACACACCCATGGCCGAGAACCCCCCTCTCAGCGTTTGAGACATGCGTAAAAGGTGTACTGTAAAAACCAGAACATAGGTCTGACCAGAATATAAGTCAAAGCCCCAAACTCTGAATCACTAAAAAAAAAAAAATGTTTTTTTAATCGCACAGTATTTTAGTGCATTCCTCCCTTAGTAAATACGCGACACAACCAGCTGCACTGTGGCGACATATATTTTTATTTGAACACGAATCTTATGTAGCTAGGTGAACGTCAGAAGGCCACAAAGAGCTGTCACTCAAATTGACCCGAACTTTAGTCTGAGGACGTCTGTTTTTCACTAGTTATGTCCCATAGTGGATCTTCCTCTGTTCCATCCTACGTGATTTAGCATTTGCAGAAAGACGGCAATAAGCCGCCTCAGTGCAAAGCCCTTCTACTTGATAAATCAGCGCACCCACGATGGCGATTCCTTGAATTGCACCCTTGTGGGCCCAGAATCGCGCGCTATCTCGAGAGGCTTCGCGCGGATGCACTCTGCTGTTATGGCTAGCGACTCTGCACGCACTTCCCGGACGAATTTGGCAAGTGGCGTTTCCAGTTTGGGGTGCACTACATTCAATTTACGAAACGATGTTTTTTTTTTTTGGTTGCTGCAGGATGGCTCCTTCGATATCAGACACTTTTCTCCAATGCACCGAATTCCCATTGTGCCACCAGGTTGACACGCGCTTCGGCTTGCTCGGATAACTTTCTTCTTAAAACCTATCGTAAACTGCCATCGACTACAGCTCATTTCTGAAGAAATAGAAAAAAGAGAACACCAGACTGATAGCAGATAATCGAGGCAAAATGGCCTTGCTAGAACACTGTAGGCCTTGCCTAGCCTTGCCCAACGGCGCCACTGCTGATGCTCATGATGGCAATAGAGGCTTTGAACTTAATCTACCCATTGTTGCGAGACTTCCAATTTATTTTTTTTCTGCCCACGACCGATGTATATGAGACGAGAACTGGTTTATCATTATGTTTTTATAAAGAACAAAAAAAAAGTCTACCTATATTCCGGTTTTTACGATAACTTCCCCATGCTTGCAAAAACACAAAGTGGCAATGTATAAAGAAAAAGAAATAAATGTACGTTACCTATATGTGAGAACTGGCATCAAGTCTCAAAGAGCTACACGAAGAAAATGAACGAGTGTGTGCACACAGAAAATACGGGCACATCTGTAGGACCACATTCATTAGCGGCTGGATGCAACCGATTTGGCCATGTAGCCTTTGCTTCATTGCCAAGAAATGTCATCCAAGAGAATAGTTTATTATGCACATGTTCGCTCCACCTATTTTCTTCTTGACATGCTGAGTTGTGCCAGTCATAAACATATTACTGGGCATATTTTTTTTAATGTCTGTATTTTACTGTTAGCAGAGTTCTGCCCCACATTTTAAATATAGGGTTCCCTTTTTTTCACCGTATTCAGTTCATTCCTCATGCACATTTCATACTCTTTAATCTTCTGCTGAAAAGTTCTACAACAAATGCACTGATTGATTTTCGTATCGTCTATGTGTATTAATGGCTACTGTGGACTACGGAAAATTCTTGAACACGAGTTGCAGCCGGAAACTCGGTGCAGTACTGTTTCACATACCTTCCAAACTTCTTCAGTTAGCTTGATGGGTACCTTCCAGGCCGCTGAAATACAGACACCGTTATCAGCCGAAACACGAAATTATATCCAAGGTCAGACAAAAAAAAAAAAAAAGCGGCAGGCTTCATTTCAACACTTAAACTTCATTTTACCCTTACACTTTTAATATTTGGAGAAAATTTCATCCAGATTACAGATTTATATATTATTTGTTACATCCACCTTACGTTCCTAAACGAATCTCCCTCCCTCTTTATTTTATAAATTATTAAAAAATGGATTTCTGATGTTTGTAAACAAGCATTAAAAAGCCCCAGTTTACTTTCAAGAGAATACTTCACTGAAAAAGTCCTCTGCAGCTACTGAATTATGCAATGCCTGTCTTTGTGAAATTTTCTGCGTGAAATATATGTAAGCCGTTTTGCTTTCATGACGCGCTAGGCTAAGCAAACAAACATGAACAAGGTGAATTCAGATCGAGTATAGTTATATTTGACTATGCATTTTTAACTGCATGAAAGGCCATCAGTTGTATCTGAATTGTAATCAAAACCAGTCAGAAAAAAAGAAGGCTCTGACTTTCCATTGTGTTTAAAGGGCTCTCAGTTCTGCTTGGGCCCAAGTAGGGCCTGCAGTATTTGCAAATAAATAAAAAAGTGGGCGAGCAGCCTTGCCGCTCGGTGCTCACCCATCAGGTGTGGTACCAGCCCGTAGTCCAGCCGGACATCTTCAAACTGCTGATACTTGGGTGCGGTGGGCAGCCGCAGGGCCTCGTAGTGGCCCAGCATGACGTCCTGCAGCCACTGGGTGTTCACAATGCCGATTCCCCACTCCTGGGCCTTCTGGTACTTTAGGCCCTCCTTCCTGTTCATCGGGCGAAAAGACATCGAGATGGTGAAGCCACCCCTCCTTAAGCACAGATTTCTGAATTTCTCCCTTAAGAGCTAAACGAAACAAAATTCACGGACCGCATGAAAATCACAGCATATCCAAAAAGTGTATCATGACGAGTGGGGCAAAGCATCCGTCAGTACGTCTGCGCTACCGTTCGTTCTTGTTTTCCATCTGTGCAACTGTGCGACCGTCCATCTGTTTGTTTGTGCATCTGTCTGCGCATCCGTTCATCCATGCATCCGTTCGTTTGTGTGTCCGTCCATTCGTCCGTGCATCTGTCTGTCTCTTCGTCCGTGCATCCATCCGTCTATCTTGAAACACACAAAAAACTTTGCAAATTTAGTGGCAAGATTTCCCAATGTTTGTCAGACTTGGCAAGATTTCCCAATGTTTGTCAGACTAGATCACACAACATAGTCCTTCATTTGGATATGGTAGCTCGCTTAGCATTCGAGGGAGGGAGCAGGTCCTGGATGGACGAAAAAAGGTCAAAAAGGAAATATTATGCAAAACTTATTCTCGGGACGTTTGTACTTCTCAGAACCTACTCTCAAATTACTAATGCTAAATTTGGTTGGGAAATGCAATAAAATTGACCTTCAAAGCACCCCGGCAATGCAGCAGTAAATTGTCTCCAAAAGGAAAAAAATTTGTTCCGAGTTTGCGCTCGTGCTACGAGCATTGCAGCAAGCCGAGCGCCAACATCCTGAGTTAGATTTTAAGCTGTTTCTTTTGTCTTTAAGTTGCACCATCTCAAAATGACGCCATCTAAGTAGAATGGCCTGCATCACGAGTTTCCTGAACGTCGTTCCCAGGTTGCTGATTGGCCCTCATTCAGCGCGCACTTCGAAAGCGCCATACAGTCGAACCTCGATATATCGAACGGCGCAGCGATCGCGAAATAGTTCGATATATCCAGAATTCGATATAAAAAATCACCAAAAAAATGCGTCAACAGCTTGCTGAAAACGACTAACGAACCGTTCAAGCGTGGTGCAGTAAATACTCACTTGAAGATTCAAACATAGTATTTATTGTGTTGGTTTAAAATATTAAAAAGAGTAGCCTGCTTTTTGTTGGCCATGGCGTGTTTGCCGACTGCGTTCTCAATATAGTCCAGGCGATCCATAAGTGATAGGCCGGTGCCTTCAATCGCGCCGCAGTGGCGGCGCACAAGGGCCAAGGCAGCTACGACCTCAGCTGATGTCGGGAGCGGGGCACCATCAGCGCTTGCGGGATCCACCTCAGCAGAGTATTCATTTGGCTGCTCAGCAGTAGTTTCGGCGACAATCTCCACATCCGTAAGCTCTGCCATTGTGAGCTCCGTCGTGAGCTCCACCGTGAGTTGGGCCTGTCGCGCACCACAGCGCGCGACAGGCCCAAACAGTGCGCGATAGGCCTGTCCAACGCCTTCTCTAGAAAGATGCCTGAGGAATGGCTCGCGACTCCCAGCGGAGTTGGCCTGCTTTCAGTTTTAAACAAGCTCCGCGCGGTGGCGCTCGCGACTGACACTATTATCATGGCGACGGGCGGTACCAGCTAAGCGTTCTATGCGGCCCATAGGGGCGTGCCAGTCGAGAGTTGTTCGAGACCTGCAACTCTGCACCACTATTTCGGAGGCTATGCAAAGTGTTGCGTTGTTGCACCGTCCACCACAGGTGACGCTAGCGACCGAGAACAATTTCAATATGAAAGAGAGAAAGAGAGAAAGAGTGTGGCAGCTGTTTTTTTTTCTTATGCGGCAGGCATCTTCCTAGAGGAGGCGTTGGCCTGTCACGCACCACAGGCCCAACTCCGAACAGTGCGTGACAGGCCTAACTCCGAACGCACGAACACTGCGAGCCCGACCGATGCCTGCCGATGCTACGGGGGAGGAGCTTGCAACAAGCGCGCAGTGTGCCGTTGACACCATAGAGACTGCAACGACTGCAAGCTGCAAAGCTGCGGCGTGAGTCCGGATGTAAAGCGCGCACATGGTGCGCCCATGCCGGCTCGCCTGACTGGTTTCCCTTTCCCGGCGGCAGCGCAGGCGTCCGAGACAGTCGTCTGCGTCCTTTCCCTCCTGTACTTTCCTCCTCAATCTTTACTTCCCACTTCCCCCGCGCGAAGCCGTGTCGGTGCCTTCGTATTGAAAGACAATAACAGCTCCGCGCTTTTCTCTTCACTTTCCTCATTCAAGAACCTCTACCGCAAGGCTGCGGCGCGCGTTACGCCGCTACGTTAAAGTGGCGCTCTCGGCGCCATCGATGTGTGCAGCATTCGTAAACGCCGCTGCTCTACAGCTACTTTCGAGAGTTGCGGGAAAGCTCGCCGCCTGTCAATGGAGCGCGGGCGGATTGGGGTGGCTGAGTTCGATATATCCATTATATGTCAAACTTTGTTCGAAATAAAAAATCAATAATGCACGTGATTTCCCGCGTGATATAGGAACCGTTCGATATAGGCAATAATTCGATATATCCGTGTTCGATATATTGAGGTTTGACTGTACTAAGTTTCCAATTGGCTGATATAGCCAGCGCGCTTTTCAAGAGCGTCGCTTTGCGTTTCCCATCGGCTGGTGTAATCGATGCGTCATTTTTTCCGTTCCGCGTATGCTGCTGTAGCTGTCTGATCGTGTGCGTCAGCTTTTGCACAGGTGCGAGTTTCTCGGCACACCGCATTTCTGCTTTGCGCTGGTAGTTTTTCCACGCAATTGAGACGCCTGGAGACTCTCTACTGAAACCGTCCTCCTAATGAGCATTTGAAAGCTGTAAAAAGCGGGTGCAGAACAAGGAGGCGCGGGCTAAGAATTCAATGTCGGGACGAAAGTTTGGTGGAGCTGGTGCTAAGCGAGCTACCATATCAAAATGAAGGGCTATGTTGTGTGATCTAGTCTGACAAACATTGTGAAATCTTGCCACTAAATATGCAAAGTCTTTTGTGTACCTCAAGGGAAAAAAATACACATCTTTACCATTGTGGTGTTGGACAAGCTGAACTTGCTAAGGTAATTTGCGCAGGCTTCAATGAAATCCAAACTGGCAACTATGCATCTTGTAACCATGATGCTACTAAAAACCGGAGGATAATGTGCACGAGTTGCGTATACTTCAACCAGATGCTTACTTTTTGATGATGAGCAGAGAGTTGAGACGCGTCAAGTAGGTGGTGTACCTGGCACCGGTTGTCAGGACCATCTGCTTTAGCAGCTCTCGTTCTTCAGAGCCGAAGCCACTCGTGCAGATGATCTGTACGCAAACAGATGAGACAGGGGTCAGCCAACCACCCGAGTGCAACAAAGTGCCCAGCACTATCGCTTCTCAACAGCTTCAACATTTCTGAAACGTTAAGCTGTGACTTAGCAACAGGTCATTCAGGCAAGGCATCCTCATTTAATAATAGTGTGCTGAAGATGAAGCACAAAAGACGGACAGAGTGGTCAAACCTGTGTCAAGTTCCTCCATGTACTAATAGTACTCAAAGGCTCAAATGAAACATCAATTTTTTTTAGTATAACGACTGGTATATGCAACTGCTCAATATAATCACGTTGTGTCGTCACGAATTTGGTCTCTGAAGATAACGCTGGCTTACATCTACCCATTTAGGTTGAAATTACACCAATGTGACATAGTAGAAACAAAAGTGCAGGCATCACTCAGCCTCAAATTGTCCAGTTTCAATCCGAGTACTGCAGATAAAAAAAAAAAGAAGAACCCCCTTTCATCTGCCAAAACTTCACGCCCAACACAGGCACTGTGAAAGCATGAGACGCAGGTTACTCATTGGGCCAGCAGAATGTGCTAGTCAATTCTACAAAAGCTGCTCCTCGCATGAGGCATAAAGCAGGTTACAATGCTCAGTGAACTTGTATGACAGAACGCACCGTTATTGTTAAGACTTTATAGAAATTCACCTGAGCTCTGAAAAGCTGAGTATTATAAGCAACAGAACACAAAATGACTTTCGCACCTGGTTCTTGCAAGGCTTGTTCTCAAGGTAGGGCGATGGAAAGTGTAATGCATGCCAGGGAGGCTGCAACTTCTTTCGCGACAGCACGTCATTCAGCCAGAATACTGTGACACAGCGTTTGCTTTCACGCAATGCCTAGAAGGAACAAGACAGCACCGAAAAATTGGTTCACAGAGATGCAGACATCCATGCACCAGAAAGTAATTAAACCGATGCGACTAAACAAACATGTATAAGAAAAACAATATTAAATAAAAGACGCACACAATCGCTGCCTGAAAGAAGAAAATGAAACAAACGAGCCCCAAAAACACACAAACACAGATTTGCCATCGCAATGCCTTGCGCTTAGTGTTTCGAAATCCATGCTAGAGTATCGACACACAGATCACACAGCATCAACATGGTAGAAGTGGCATGTTGTTTTGATACCTTTTTCACAACCATATCACAAGCTGCATCTGGATGATTTAAAGCACAAGAAGCATGTCCTGCATTCTCAGGTAAACCATGACAGTGACTTCACAGCAGCTCCCAAATCTTTATTTCTCTCTTAGGTACAAACCACCAAAAGTTTGCATTGCCACGTTTGTTACCCTTCTTTTACCTGCTCGTAGTCACAGATAAGTGCAAGCTAATTCTATTGAAAGAAAAGGAGTAAATCCCTAATTTCGTATGCACCCAAGATTCTCCAATCTTTAATTTATGCCTAGTTATTGATTCTACAGCTATAAGCTGTATGCACGCATGCACCCGAAGCTCTAGCTGACTTCACATGAAGCCTGCCTTCTGCATAGAGTATGAACGATAATGTCAAATACTGTTCTCACAAAACGTGAAAATGAAATACACTGAAACCTCGATATAACGAATTTGGATATAACAAATTATTGTTTATAACAAAGTGAGCGACCAATAGCTTTGACATAGATAAAGTGTTACAAATAATTGTTCATAACAAATTTTCGGATATAACGAAGTATTTTCACGACAGACGTGAGTTTGTTGTGAGGTTTGAGTGTAAATATACTTCTTATTTGCGACAAACAAATTATGATTCATTTAGCTTTCTACAGTGAGGTGTGCCTCAAACGATGCTACTCGTCGTGGGGGTGCTGACACCCCTTGTAAAGTTGTTTGCGCCGCGTGGCACACGTGTCTCACGCAGAAGCTGCATTTCAGGCTACAACTACTAGGTGCTAGGTGGCATTGTGCTCGTGAGCATTTATGGCCACTATCATCATCACGGTTAGAAAACATTAGCGCTGGCGGCGACACCTGGCGGGAAGCCCTGGTGGCGGCATGGAAGAAATAAGCTGGTCTCTTTCGGCGCGTGGCAGTAGCCTCCAGCGGTGGATATGCCGTGGACGGCACCGCGGGCCGCCTGTGGTGGGCCCACGCGGTGAGTCAGGCGTTGGCGACACCGCCTTGTTTGTCATGTTGTTGAGTGTTGTTTAATATTGTGTAAGGATGCCTTAGGGTGTTGATCACGATTGATGTTATAATAATTTGGCTGACGATATCGTCGATCAAAAAGTAGTTAAATAAACGTATTGTTGTTTGGTTTGTTCCGACCGCGTCTGCTGTGTCCATTCACTCCAAGAGCATGGCGGTGGCAGTCGCCAATTCGAGACCCCACATCATAAGAGCACTGCACAACAGAACAAGTGCCAACCTGCTGCACAATGGTGCTGCGTTGTGTACTACAGACGACGTGAGTACAACGAGGACTGTACACCTCCTCGACTTCGCCACCTCGATGCATGATGACCTACATGGGCAAACAAAAACAGGAAAAAAGATTAATATAAGGCAATGTAGCACACAAAAATGAGAAGCATGTTCAGGAACAGCAGCATGTCCCCTTCAGCGGCGACATGTACAATTGTACACACAGCTAATTTAGAGGAACATATCGCACTGTGTCTTTATTCAAATGGCTTGAAACGTGGTGCGCACATTTGTGCAGGCTTCCTCAGAGGATAAATACCGATAATTTAGCTTCTTTATACTGGTAATGCTGCAGAGAATCACTTTGCTGGCAACACTACCATGTTCGAAGAACAGTTGACATGCCGTGTTGCAGGACCCACGTCAAGAGTACCGTATTTACACGATTGTAAGACGACCCTTTTTTTCAAATTTGACAATCCAATGTTGGGGGGTCGTCTTAGAATCGAATTCGAACCATGTACCTTAGAATCGAAATCGAACCATGTATTGTCATCTCGAATAGTTTCCCGCTCAACCCAAAGCGCATAGTTTTCCGCGTGCTTATACAAAAGCTTTTCTTTTTTTAGCATCTACTGCGCGCATTACGAGTGCCTTTATGACGAGCGCACGGCTCTTGAGGGAGCACCGGTAATCGATGGAAGAGCCGCCGTAGGGGGGTACTGGTAGTTGACGGAAGAGCTCCTCTTTGTGATACAATTTTCTAAGCGGGCGCGTCGCCGCGTGCTCCTGTCGCTTGTGTCCACGACCGGCTCTCTCGAGTCACTTCTGTCTGACATGAGTGCCGTAGGCTCGAAGAACACTCGGCGCTCGTTTACGGCAGCGTTTAAGCGGGCTGCTATTCTTCATGCGGAGGAAACCAACAACTGTGCAGCAGGACGGAAGTTCGGAATCGGTGAATGTGTGGTACGGAAGTGGCGGCTTCAGCGCGAGGAAATTTTCTGGTGCGACTCCAAGCGCCGTGGCTTTCGCGGGCCGAAGTCTGGCCGCTTTTCGGAACTAGAGGCGAAGCTTGCGGCCTACTCACACTTGACGACGACGTGCTGTGGGACTGCAGCAGCAATGACGGCAGCAGCACCAGCGAGGACGACTCCAGCGACGATGAATAGTCCTCCGCAACCACGTGAATAAATTTCCCTTGTGTAAAATGCACGAGTTCTTTTTTTTTTTTTTTGAGATGCGATTTTGGGGGGGTCGTCTTACATTCGAGTCGTCTTACAATCGTGTAAATACGGTAATTTTTTTTTCTTTGCTTGAATGAATTCAACAAAAAAAAAATAACGGCACTTGTACCTGGGCCTAATATTTCATTCATATTATGTAAAAATTGAGATTAACTGATTAAAAAGTAAATACATACTTAATTACATGCTTATTACATTAATGACTGAAACTTTTGCAAAACAAAACATTCCTTCATTTGCTTTCTTGGAATGCAATACTGAGTGCTTTGGAATCACGCCATGCAAATTTGACACATTTGCACAGTTGATCATAATTCGCATCTGAAAGAGACATTTTAAAATGCGGTTTGAGACACATTTTAATGAAACAAACCACATTCCAGTATTAGAGCAACATGCACAAAAATGCCAAAAAAAAAAGTGACAGCTAAGCCGTTTTTACATAAACAGCAGACACGACCCACGAGTCACAATGAGTTACTTGTCGTAAGTGACTGTCACGGTAACTTGTGGTATGAGTCACATGTCGTAGGTGGCCCCTACTACAAGAAAGTGGTCATGCTTAAAAATTTCATTGACCAAGCGTGGAAGCAAAAGGGAAGGACTTCTACAGCACTCTGAGACAACTAAAGACTTTATCGTTGTGTAGTGCGTTCAACTGCACCCGTAAAAATACAAACGCATCAGACTAACTGCTGAATGGCTACAAATATCAGCAACATCATATCTGTAGTCCATGGCCCAAAAATTAAGCAATGCATTGTTACACAATAAAATTCAAAACACTGATTATTCATTGGTTTCACATCCCAGTAGCAGCTGCAACAATTGGAAGGGCCAAATAATAAAGGACCTGTAAGAGGTTGGTCCAGGACTGAATCGGCAATTCTGAAGTACTATGAATCTCACACTTGACGCGAACTCACCTTTTTCCACTTCAGTATCTCTGAGGAATCAAAGAGGTGGTCGTAATCCACAATGCAGAATACGCAACCCATCAGGCACATTTCCGTAGGCACTGGAAAAAAAAATCGAACGGTTGCTTTCAATGCCATTGAACAATACCCCACCCGCTCTCTTTTGTTTTTAGAGTTTTGCATCTCAGTACCATGACATGATTCAGAGATGTGCCTTTAGTTGGGCACGTAAAAACAGCATAGTGTTGGACATTATGATTTAAAATTGAAGCTGCAGGCTTAGCTTAGTTTAAGTGAAGTCTGATGCGGCCTAGAAGGCATTAGGCCTAAATTGGCCCCTATCGCAGACTAAACTTTGAATAAAACAGTTCACACACACGCATACCTAGCACACTTATTGGAGCGTCAATGTATAGAATTTTGATGCAAGCCCAAAGCTACGGCTTCTTACAAATTATTTCGAGAACCTGCCAAAGTCAAAGCAATACCTGGAAGAATGAAAACTACAGTCTTATGGTGATAACTCAGTGGCGAAATTCTCACCATTGGCATTCTGAATGTCATTTTTTTTGTTATCTTTACACTGCATTATTAAAACATTTTCTCTAAATGTGAAAGCTTGCTAAGTAGCGCATAAGAATGTGATGCAATAAATTCTAGGAAAGAGCTTCTGAAGAGAAGTAGTCAAAACCCTGCAGGAAGTAAAAGCATACCTTGTGTTCTTGGATCATGTCCGTAGAAGTGAACTTCAACCGGGGCATTGGAATTCATGGTAACTTCAGTACCAAAGTTCCTTGCATCATTGGCCAAATGCTGAGCTGGCGGTGGTACGGATGCACGAACTGATCGGTACGCCGGGTTCATCATGGGGCCCTCCTGACAGAGTCGGGTAAGAAAGCAGATGAAGCCTGACACAACACGTGCTAAAAAATATGTGGCGAAATGCTATATTAACTTTTTCTAGTGTTACTTTTTCCAGTGTTAATCTGGCCCAATGATCCCTGTAGGAATGATAATCTGATATCAAAGAAAAACGGAGCTGTTTAAAACGTGAGTGTTCGCATTTCCCATCAATTCGTACCATGAAACAATATAAACATTTATAAAATCTACATTTCTACACAGTATTTTTTAGGCCTGCTGCTTCATACAATTGATCACTCTTGGATGGCACAAAAGCTGCCATCCCACAATCTCTGGTAATTTTACATTTGCATATTATTCTCTGGTCTCGATTGTGAACTAAGACGTCTGAAGAACCAACATGCCTGCTTTTACAATCTATTGTAAAGAGCAGAAAAACTTTAGACTTGTTCCAAGGGAAACTTGTTTTTCTTTCACACCATCAAGAACATATAAATTTTTGTGGGCTTAAAAATGCTTAAACCAGTAAGAGCTAAAAGATGCTTAAAATTTTCAGCCTGAGATGTTTGCCACAACATGTGTTACTAAACTTAACCTTAGAGTTTTAAGAAAACAAACAAAACAAAACAATATAGAAAGACTCAAAACAGCAAATATTTCAGACAAAAGAAACTCAATTCAAATGTTAAATCAGGTGAACAGAGGATTTAGCGTGACGTGGTCAATCCTTAACAAGCTATCCACACAGTTTTAAGCTGGTAGTTGAGAACTGCAGTGTTAGAAGTGATGCGAAGAGCCAACAGTATCTGAACTGTTCCAACAGAATATCAATTGTTTCAAGAGAACAACTCAAGAGCCAACAAAACATCAATTGTTCCAAGACATGGAGGCAGGCTAGTTAGTATTTCAACCAGTACTCCAGCAAAGAAAAAAGAACATGAAGAAGTAGACATAGTTCATGTTGTAATCGTGTCATACATTACATAGAGTAACAGTACTGAGAGAAGAAGGCATGCTACTTGCCGCCTCAACAGCATCTAGCATGCTAAAAAAGTTTTTTTTAAGTGGTGCTAAACACAGGGCAGTTCACTCACACAACTTAACCAATTCAATGACAAACAGCAGCAGTGCTTACCCTTTATTACAGTAACATATAATTAATGCACCTGACATCTATATAAACAGAACGATGCATAAATGCAAAACCATCAGATTTTCTGAAAAGTGTTGCACAAGCGAACTGCCCTGCCCTTTCGCATGACCAGTGATATTCTCTTTTCCAAACTCGCAACAATTCCAAGGTAAGTGGCGCAAAACACAAGATGTAAACATGCATGGTTAAATACAGCGCACAGTAAAATGAGTCGCGCGTTTTTACATTCACGTGCCCAGGTGTTAGTTTTCTCGAACAAGCATTCCAGTGCGGTGTAGAAGCTCTTTATGTGCACCTATGTGCTGTGAGCTACGTAACAAAACCCAAGGTATTTAAACACTTGAAACACTTGAGAAGAAAATTGATTCTGAATGCTAGAATTTCCCCAATGCAAAAACAGCCTCGCTGCTTAACAAGTACGGTCCCGACGACTGATGACCAGACAGTACGGTTAGTGCAAGTTCTATTTAATGCTGGCCATCAATGCCGCAGCCCATTTCATCCATGATGACAAGATGGGAGGCATAATAGGCAGAATTGATGCTTGACATTAACAAAGAAAAAGAAAAAGAAAAGAATTGTTGCCAAAGTACAAGCTTGTGCACACGTAAAAAACACCAGGGCTGACTAGACTCTGGCCAGAACGCAGGCACCTCCAATTTTTTTTGGTACAAAAGAATTCATTGATGTGACAGGGCCCCATTTGTCAATGACCAATTTTGAGAGAAATTAATGATTCTTTAAAGCAGCCTTATACGTAGAGACATACACTATGTCCTTTATCATTCTGCGAGCAATTGCTTCACGCTGCGCACAATAAAGCTATTCTCAATGAATAGCTCACATCAAATAAAAGAAAACCAGATCACCTGGCTGTGCTGCACACAGGCAACTTCATACACTCAACTAAATAAACTTAAAAGACATATCACCAATTATCACGACTACATAGGTATGCACAATGCAACTGTTAAAATGAAAATATCAGATGCCCTCAACTTGAACATTTCTTACTTCTCAGGAAAATACAGTTAGCATGAACTGCACCATCCTTATGCAAGAAAATCACTAACCAAAAAAATGTGCAAGGCTACTACTGCAAAATGTTTCTGCAATACGAGTGCAAATGAAACGTGCAGGCATAGGACTGTCAGTGAAAGAAATGCAATTAATAAAAGGGTCAGTAACAGAAGAGCATTCCAAGTGTACTTCACGAACTTGTGCAAACATTTATGTGCCGTTAAAATGTGCATTGGTGCCAGTAGGCTCTCATTAAACGGAACCTGTAGAAACCATGAAAATATGTTCTATTTAGCGGGAGTTCTGTTCAATGAGAGATGAATAACGCTGTAAACTACAAGTAGGAAATCAATCATGTTAGAGACATTTGTTCCATCTAAGCAACAGTTTCGCTTAATAGATTTCTGTTAGCTGAGAGTGATCTGTATTTCCAATCATTCCGTGTAACGCTTATACAAAGACGAGAGTGTGTGTAGCCGTTGAGCACAGTCGAATCTCATTAATTCGAACATGCTTAATTCCAACTTCCAGTTAATTCGAACTCGCGCCGTAGTCCCGTCAAAGCTATGTGTATTCCAATGGGCGAAAATGCCCTGTGATTCAAACGCACAAGCACTTATGACGGTTAATTCGAACACACCGCACTGCGAAAATGCCCTCAGTACCACATCCAATCCCACGACAGCACCGCCGACACTTCTATGCTGCGCACGCAGAAGGAAAAGACAAAAAGGAAAGAAAAGGTTGCGGCAGAGTGTTTTCTTTCCCCCAAATGCCGATCTGCGACGCACCTGTGTCCCGCTACTCCCTTTTCTGTCCCTGCCACATAGAAACCTTTCTCCTCTCAACGCCGCGCACGAAAAGACAGAGGGAAAAAAAAGCTGTCGTGGAGTGTTAGCTCGCTGATCATGACGTGCTGGTGCCATGCTTCCCCTTTCCCGTCCCTGCCAAGCAACGTAGAGACTCTTGTCCTTTCAGCGCCGCGTGCGAAGAGAAAAAAAAAAAAAAAAAACTGCCGTGGAGTGTTGGTTCTCTCTTAAATGCCGATCCCATCCTCCCCCCGCGTGGAGACGCTCCTCCTTTCTCGTCATGTGCTGGCCATGCTGTGGCTGCAGAGCAGAGGGTAGCAGCAAAGACGCAGTCGTTGCTGTCGTCTTTAGAGAGTGTTGGCGCTGGAATTAGCCGCGCGCTACTTCTCTTGTCAGGAGAATGCTAAAGCTGAAGTTAAAATGCTTTGCCAACCGCATGCAAAATTGATTGATTTGCTGCAAGGCAATCGTGTGCAGACGCGCATCACTGATTACTTCAATTAATGACGGATGTCCTGTGATTTGTGAACGAATGTACGTCTTTTGAAGCTTCCCTCTCATGTGTTAGCTCAATGCACATGCACTCCTGCATGGTGAGCCCTCTGTTCATTTAGCTTTCACTAATTCGAAACTCTTTTAATTCGAACAAATTTTCGGCCTCCTTCGAGTTCGAATTATCAAGATTCGACTGTACTATGTTATAAGTTTACAAATACACATCACTAAGACAAAAGCCTCAGAGGTGCTCCGTTTCGCGAGGTCCTGGTGCGAGCAGGATACAGGTACCACAGATTTTCCAAATTACACACAAACATGGCTAACTAGTATATCTCCCGCAATGCGTACAGAGTGAACCACATTTAGGGGAAATACCAGTTGATTCCGCAACAGTACAACTTTGATATTTATTCTGCTTCTTGGAGGAAACGTTTCTCATATAATATCTATGTTGATGAACGAAAAGGCTGTTTTCCAAATTTCATGCTAATGATTACTCGCTTTGAGCTCTTGAATATTAATTGATGTTTTTCTCCTACATGTGGCCAGGATGTACAGCCGCCCATTTTATTAACCTGAACGTGTGAGCTTTGACTGCTTGGCTGATCTGTGCGAAATAATGAAGCACAGCGCTGAAATAAACAATAATAAGTGCGTGCGCCCGATGAACAGTAATACGTGGTTGTTTTCCACCACAGTGTTGCGGTGACCGGACAGCGGGATGCCAGCAATTAGCGCGTATTGACTAGGGGGTTGACGCTCGCGCACTCCGGTTAAAAAAAATGGGCAGGTGTACAATAAGAATGAGCGGTCTCGTGTAACATGCAAGTTAGGTAGGCTCCCAATGTTTGAACAACCTTTTGACAGAGCCAAAAAAAAAAAAAAAAAAGAGGAGTGTGTTCTGCTGAGGATCTTTAGAAAATAATCACACTACACAAGACTACGGACAGGTCTTCGACTCAACAAATCAAAGGCATGGGCAGCACACGACCATAGTGCTACCTCATCACACAATGAATAACATGCAGTATTAATGCAAATGCAACATGTATGTTGACAAGACTCATCAATGTACAAAACGACAGGCAGAAGAGTTTCGTTTGAATCCTCCGAATACTCTAGCATCGTTGCATGGCAATGCTTATGGGTGATATTTTTGCAAGACAGCTCTAAGAAAATATGGTAATAGCAGTTTTCTTGCTCATTTTTTAATGTGGTGCAACTTTACCTATTTTAGTCTACAACTGCTTGGCCATGTTGCAGCATTCTGTAGCCCTACAAAAACTGCTTTAGATTGTCGAAAGTGATGTGAATGGCTGTTAGTGTTTTTCTGGTATGCCGAGAACTCGTTCCTCAATCTCCTAATGTCAGCATTATCTATGCAGTGTGGTACACAGACCTACAGTAAGCCCTAATTACAACGAAGTTGCTTTGTTCAAATTATCGCTTTTAACGAAGTGTCACGCAGTCCCGACCCCAATACATGTATTTTAAACTGGATCACTCGAAGCATGTCGATAGCTCGCTCCGCT